AATAAAATATTATAAATAATAAATCACACGTGACACACAAGTGAATAATGCCACAAACCTGTAAAGCAAATACACAGGCAAAACCCCCCTTATCCCCAACTGGGGGATCAAATGACAAATATAATGTCAGTGAATAACGTGACTCCTTCCTCTGGGGAATGCAATACACATACAAGTTAAAGGTGCACCCCTATTGGGGAAACAATTCGTACAAAGTGATGTGTGTTACAACACTTAATCACAGCAAAACAAACAATAGGTGATACGTTATTATTATATAGGATTTATATAGCGCCAACAGTTTGCTCAGCGCTTTTCAATATAAAGGGAGACAATACAGCAACAATAAAGTTCAATACAAAAGGGAAAGGAGGGCCCTGCTCCTTGGAGCTTACAATCTAGGAGGGAGGGGTACATAAATATTGTTCAGTCCATAAAAAAGTCCACTCTGACAAACACTTGTGAACACGAATGAAACAGCAAATTGTGAAAGTGAAACTTGTGCAACAATCGTGATAATAATCCTTAAGTGGCCTGAGTGCCCCCTCACCTCCTTACAGTGACCACACGGGCCAGCTCGCTTAATGGATCAACCACGTTCCGCATAGGAACTACCACGTCATTAGAAAGATGACCACACTGGTTACCTCAGTAGAGCCAATATTCCTCCTGAACTCCCTCCAACCACTGGATAATCTTGTAATGCCGCTCACATCAAAGGATCATAATAGAAACAAAAAAGATCCTCCATAGTGTAAATCAGTAATTTATTAAAGCAAAAAACGCCAGAGAATGCCCACTCACATAATACAGGACTCCAATCAGCCTTTCACCTCATATAATGGGTGTACTGCATGGTTTCCTGGTGTCCCAATATGGCGCCCACGCCGGAAGTGACGTCACCGCGCACTGGAAGTCCTGTCACGGCGTACCAACGCGTTACGTCACGGTGATCACGTGACTTCTTCAGGGTATACACCCATAGTGACATGGATGCCTTATATAGGCGGCCTGGGCGTCAATCTTCTAAGAAGACAACCCCCAGCGGCCATTTTCTCAGAGTCTGGTGCATTGTAAACACTGCTGGCATGGATCTATATTTATCACTTGATCCACTTACAGCAAAATCTATCTGTATCTGTATTTGTTCACCCGTCTATTTTTGCTTAAGCAGCCATTTTTAGCTGTAAGTGGATCCGAGAAAATGGCCTTGGGGGTTGTCTTCTTAGACGTAACGCGTTGGTACGCTGTGACAGGACTTCCAGTGCGCGGTGACGTCACTTCCGGCGCGGACGCCATATTGGGACACCAGGAAACTATGCAGTACACCCATATATGAGGTGAAAGACTGATTGGAATCCTTTATTATGAGAGTGGGCATTCTCTGGCATTTTTTTGCTTTAATAAATTACTGATTTACACTATGGAGGATCTTTTTTGTTTCTATTATGATCCTTTGATGTGAGCGGCTTTACAAGATTATCCCGTGGTTGGAGGGAGTTCAGGAGGAATATTAGCTCTACTGAGGTATCCAGTGCGGTCATCTTTCTAATGACGTGGTAGTTCCTATGCGGAACCTGGTTGATCCATTAAGCAAACTGGCCCGTGTGGTCACTATAAGGAGGTGAGGAGGCACTCAGGCCAGTTAAGGATTATTATCACGATTTGCTGTTTCATTCGTGTTCACAAGAGTTTGTCAGAGTGGACTTTTTTTATGGACTGAACAATATTTATGTATCACCTATTGTTTGTTTTGCTGTGATTATGTGTTGTAACACACATCACTTTGTACGAATTGTTTCCCCAGTAGGATAAATCTGTAACTCACTGTTCCAGTCTCTCCTACTTCTCACACAGGATCTGTGTGTGAAGGAGAATCCAGTGACAGCAAGTTACCGATGTTTGTTTACATTTTACTGATCAGCTGTATTTGGACACAGTGATCACGTGTGGTAAAAAGCCGCTGTCATTGGTGATGCGATGTGTCCAGGGGACACAGCTCTCTACAGATCACCGCCCTGCGTGCCCCTGGATAGAACCGGTCCTGCCCGCACTTCATTCTACTATAGTCCGGAAGGGAAGCCGTTAAGCAACAGCCACTCAAATTTCCGTCAGTTACCACCTGTATGCTGAGAATCTTGATATCCCATATTAAGTTATGCCTGTACTTGTTACAACTGGGGAACCTGGTAATGAGTGTAAACTGTCCACAGGAATGGACATATTTTCTTCACCTCTGCTGTTCTATGTGCATTTGGAAGATTTTTCTGCTCCCAACAGCTGCTGGTAAATTGATGCCAGACATGTTAAATCCAGTTCACACAGGACTCTGGTATTTAGGTCAGGCCAGTATGTCAGGGGATTCTCTATGGAATTTTTGATCCAGATTTTGAAAGTGCACCCCTACATTCCAGAATGGGATAATTTAGGCTGGTCATAGCTGATTAATTTTTTTTCCATCCGACGATAGGGAGACTTTTCCATTATCAGAATATAATGATCAGTACTATTGACCATAGCCAGCAATCGGTAGATACATTTTTTTACAACCACTCTGCCCATACATGGATTGAAATGCGGCTGGCCCCTATTGAAGCAGCTGAATTTCAGTCCATGTATGGCTGGCTTTACACTTCCAATGCTTGAAAACAGTAGGTAGTATGCTTGGTTTCTGACCTCTAAACCTCCTGTGCCACCACACAGATTAAGAGATCTCCACTGAACCCTCTCGGTCTTTTGGATTAAGTTGTCATGGGCCCAGCTCATCTGAAAGAACTGTTTGAGGTGTTTTATTTGTGAATGGTCCCAGTGCTAAAAAGGGGCATTTACCCTGTCTAACATTAGATTTTTGAATGACTTCATTTGATTCTAGCAATTCTGCATGGAATTCACTATCTGTCATCTTCCTCCTTAACCAGAGAGACTGACTGCTTATCAAGGATACATACCTGCATGTTGCATATTTCCAGCACATCTATGTTTCCTACATTCTACATTTTGCCGTGGGGCCTCTACACTACCAGTGCATGAACCTACCCTTCAGCCACTCTTCCCCACCTCAGTTGTTCACTGAGATGACTGTATTAGCCCTGCTGTGCTCTTCTAGTATCCCTATTGTGATGACTTCCTGTTAAAAAAAAAAAAAAAACGTTAGTACAGGCTCTGTCAGGCAATGTGGCTTTGACTGTCCAGAACTTACAGTGGTTTGGGTGGATCCTGAGCCTTTAAAAATGAATGCTGGAACGGTCTCATCATTTGCAGGACTTCTCCTGGATAGAGATCAGAGCAGAGTGTTCTATTCTATAGGAAAAACTCCAGGTTCTCTGATCTTATTTTAAAGCTCTCCAGTCCAGAATTTGCCCAACCCTCCACTTTTGCATGAGTTCTGGGCCTAATAGACTACTTTGAGACTATTCAATTTGCCTACTTCTCTCCAGGCCTCTACAACACAATATTCTGCCAACATGGGACTAGTCAACCAGGTCCCTGGATAGATGAATTAATTTGACACCTTGGACCATGTTGCCCCTAGCTCAGGATTCTATAACTAATAACTCTAGAATTGGGGAAGTTCTTCCTTTGGAGGAACCTTACGATGGATGACAGACTTTTAGTCTGGGAAGAGTTCTAGGCAGCCTGTTACTGCAAGGGACCTGGTCAAAGGAGCAGTCTCCTTTACCAATTAACATGTCAGAGCTTTGTGAGATTCTGTCTCTCTTCAGTGTTAAATCAGCCTATTGAAAAAACACCTAAACTGAATTCAGTGTGACAAAGCCACAATGGAAGTCTTGCTACAGCAGGAGAGATAGATTCCACCCTTTCATGGGCAGAACTTCACAATCTCGCCTTGTTCCCTGTGTACGTCTCTCAGGCATGGACAATTGGAAGGCAGACTTCTTCCGCTGGCAATGCCTGGGCCTGAGAGGCTGATCTTTAAACTTGAAGGTGTTTCAATACAAAGCAAAATATGGACCTCCAGGCCCAAGAACAAACAGGACCGGTTTGCCTCCAAGTATAGGGATCCTCTAGTGCAAGCAGTGAATGCTCATGTGACTCTATGAGATCAGTGCACCCTGATCTCTGTCTTAACTGAAAATTCTTTCTCACCTGCTTTGCAGGATCGAGAAGAGCATTCCAGTAATGTTTATTGTTCTAGAATGGTCCAGTGGTACACTGACCTGCTAGGACTCCTGAAAGATGTTCCATGGGCTGGCCCACTTAGTAAGGATCTTCTGTTTCAGGACTGATTTACCACCCTGCTACACAGTTGCTGGTTTTAATGTCCCTCTGGTTACAGTTCACCCAAAAGGAAATTTTCCTTCATCATTTGGATGTGGTTCTGGCTATGAGAAGTTCTCTCTCAGCTACTGCTTCTTTCGTTGTCATCCTGGATAAACCTTAGAAGGATGCCCTGGCTTCTTGTTCCATCATTACTAGGTGGCTCTGGCAGGCCATCATCCAAGCTTATAGTTTCTAGGATTGGGTTCTTAGCTTTCCTGTCAAGGAACACTCTTTGAAACCTGTAAATGCTTCTTGGGCCTCTAAGCATAATCAAGCATCTGTTTCTCAGATTTGCATGGTTGCAACCTGGTTCTTCTACCAGTTGGATGTTGTGATGTCATCTGAAGCTAGCCTTGGCCTTAACAACTATTCCTTTCTTTGAAAGATTAAATAAGAACATTTTTCATATCAGATATTTTTTTGGCCATCAAAGTTTTGTGCCATGCCATATTTGCCACATGAGAAATGCTAAAGATTTCTTTGATCAAAAACCTCAAAAAGAATAATTCTTTATTTTTCTTTTTATAGCAAGACCAGTCATTTCATCAAGACAGAAATATAGGATGCCCTCCTCATTTTGCTAAAACAGAGAATACGTCAGTGGAGATACAAACTATATAGAAATAAACAGCATGTTGAGAATATTGAAGAATTTCACACAGAAAATGTATGTGGTAGTCATTCACAACAGAAACGTCACATAGACTGCTGACTTTGTGTCATCCTGCATATAATAAAGTCGATAGATCTAATTTGGTATTCAGCGCGAGGGAAAGTTCTTGCTCCAGTAATTGATGAAGGGACACTCCATCATGTGAATAAACCCACATTGTTCCTGTCCAGTCATACCGCTTTGGTCCGCTGGAAAATAAACAAAGAACCAAATGAGAACAGAGTTTCCAGAGTGCATAGAGCATCACAGAAACAGTCAGAGAATTATTGAGATACATATTTTTATCAACTTAATATAGTGATCACATACCAGCAGAAAAGCTGATCTGCTACTTTTGGTTCTTTCACCATATAATCTCTCCTCTACAGTTTGCTTTGTTCCAGGACTGACAGGTATAGGAATCACTGAAATTCACCGGTTAGTTAATATAGCACTTACACAGCCAGTGGCTGCCCAGCCTATCAATAAACCACACTATTTAGTGCCTAGAGCAATGGGTTTATTTCCAAGCTCTAGGCACCAGTCTGTAATAGCTCCTGCATTCCTATTTCTCTGGCTTGAACCTCACCTTTTGTTTGACTGCACTTGTTCCCTCCCCACCTTGACTTCTAGCCTCTAACTGTTCCAGATATTGCCTGTCAGCTGTGTACTATTAGAAATATACAAAAAAGAGGGAATAGTCAAAACACTGACTGTCTTATCACTATATTAGTGTTGCCATCTAAACCGTAATCAAAGCAGAAAAAACAAAGTCGCATACTGAGGGTAAAGCCCCCTATATGAGACAAGTGGTTAATCCGACAGCAAACAAGACTTGCATCAGGAATTGTAGTATAAAAGATTATTTATTCATGGCAGAAAAATTGCAATACATAAAAAGTAGTGAGGAACAGTGCTCAATACCCCCAGTGTATACATAAAGACACAAACAATACTATAAAAACAATGTCAATCTAAGGACATCCGGACGTCATATACAATGTATGTACAGTGGGGCAAAAAAGTATTTAGTCAGCCACCAATTGTGCAAGTTCTCCCACTTAAAAAGATGAGAGAGGCCTGTAATTGGCATCATAGGTAGACCTCAACTATGAGAGACAAAATGAGAAAAAAAATCCAGACAATCACATTGGCTGATTTGAAAAGAATTTATTTGCAAATTATTTGGGAAAATAAGTATTTGGTCAATATCAAAAGTTCATCATCTCAATACTTTGTTGGCAATGACAGAGGTCAAACGTTTCCTGCAAGTCTTCACAAGGTTGGCACACACTGTTGCTGGTATGTTGGCCCATTCCTCCATGCAGATCTCCTCTAGAGCAGTGATTGTTTTGGGGCTGCCGCTGGGCAACACAGACTTTCAACTCCCTCCAATGGTTTTCTATGGGGTTGAGATCTGGAGACTGGCTAGGCTACTCCAGGACCTTGAAATGCTTCTTACGAAGCCACTCCTTCGTTGCCCGGGCGGTATGTTTGGGATCATTTTCATGTTGCAAGACCCAGCCACGTTTCATCTTCAATGCCCATGATACATTCTTACCTGGGGATTGCATTACCATCTCTCAGCTGGGACCCGGAAGTGACATTGTAACATCACTTCTGGGTCAGCACAAGAAGGGGAGCGGACTTGTCCACTCTTCTCCTTTCCCCCTAGCCAACAGTGAGCTGGGCCCGCAAATGGGCAAGCGGGAGCCTGAGAAACCTCAGGGGGAAGGGGGGGGGGGGGGTCGCGGAGAGGCTGGCACTGTTTGAAGCAATTGGTTCGCAGCAGGGCTAAAAGAAAGAAAGAAACTATCTCCCCAGCGCCTGGAACTACATATCCCGGGTGTCGGGCAATAGGAAACCAACATCCCTTCAGTGCAATATTGAAAATATTAAAAAATGTAGGTCGTCATAAAGCCCCTTTTTTTTTTTAAAAGCCCCAGATATTCCTAATATCACCTCCCCATATCACTGCCTAATAAAAAAAATCAACCCTTCATATTTTCCATCTTGGCAAAGTCATTTCATGGTTTAAAGGGACATACATCCATTGAACATCCCTAGTGATAAAACTGTCTCATTCACTAATAGTATAAAAATAAAGACCGGTTTTGGTTAAAATTATTATTTTTTTTATCAGGACAAGTAGATTGTCATAAGGGACAAGTAGTTTGGGACCCCGATTTAGTCCCTGGACAAGCAGTTTTTTAAAACATTTCCACATCCCTGCTTATCTATTGCTGACTATGTGGACATGACTGTTTCAGCTCCCGTGATGAACTAGCACCAAAGGTGAGCTTGAAAACTCCACGTTTAGTCACTGGTCCTGTTCAATTGCTGGATGGACAGTGGGGCTGAGTTGTTGTGCCCCCTACTTCAATGTGGACTGGCTACGGACTTACAGACTGATCTGGTATAGCCATTGCTGTGTTACTGACTAGGCAATTTGTCATTTCAGAGTTGGCCGATTTATTTTCCATCGACCAAGCCAGTGCTATCCATGTGAGTATATATTGCCGGGTCAAATAGTGACTGCATACCAGGTTGAACTAGATTGGGATTACCGGCTATGCTATATATGGACTATATGTCAACCACTATTCCTCTAGCCACCTTTATCCCCTCCAGTTCCTATCTTTGGAATGCTGTTGGTGATTTTGGGACCGCTTTGTGCCATCCCTTGTGGTATTCATCTCACAGGGGGAGTTCTCTCCCTACTTAGTATTAGATGGGGCACTTGTGTATGTATGTCCAGCAGTACCGCTTGCATTGAACTATTGTCAGTCATAAGTGTGAATTCACATGATGCGTGCTTTGCAGGGGATATATACATACACTGTATATGACGTCTGGACGCCCTTAGATTGACATTGTTTTTATAGTATTGTTTGTGTGTTTATGTATACACTGTGGATATTGAGCACTCTGCCTCACTACTTTTTATGTATTGCAAATTTTCTGCCATGAATAAATAAGAATCTTTTATACTACAATTCCTGATACAAGTCTTGTTTGCTGTTGGATTAACCACTTGTCTCATATAGGGGGCTTTACCCTCAACTGTGTACTATTGCCTGGTTCTATGCCTAGTCATTCTTCTCAGGTGTGTCTGTACCCCCACCAGTAAAGTCCATCATTCCTTGCTGGGTGCTCTGGTAAAGATCTAATGCAGGGGTACAAAAATTAAAATTCAGTCACTAAAAATTTCTTGCAGCAGAGGTCCAAATCACATGTTTGATTCTTAATGGCACCTTAAAGCATCAGCACGTTTTTGTGAGCGCTAAACTGGTTTGGTGCAGCGCAATTATAAAAAAGGGTCAGGGACTTATTTTTCTGTGTTTCTGCATGTAAGACAGCCCATTGAAATGAATAGGCTGCCTACATGCAGAACACAGGTAGCAGTGATGTAAACCTAGCCTTAGGTCCTTCACATCACAATCCTGTCATTACAACAGTGTTCTCAGTCCTCCCTTTACATCACAGCCCTCCTTCATATCACAGCCCCTCCTTTCACAGCAGCGTCCTTACCCACTTCACAGTACTCCCCACGTGAATATCACCTCCCTTTCACATTCCTGTTCTCTGCCCCCTTTATATCAGCTCCCTCCTCTTTCACATTACTGTCGTCAGTCCCCCTTCATATCACTTAATTCACATTCCTGTTCTCTCCCTCCTTTACATTCCTACCTCATCCCCTTCTTATATCACCTCCCTCCTCCTTCAGATTCCTGTCTTCAGCCGCCCCTTTAGATCACCCCCTTCACATTCCTGTCCTCACCCCCCTTTCACATTCCTGTCTTTAGCTTCCTTCACACTTAATATTACCCCTTCCTCTAGATTCTTGCCATGGCCTCCATTCACATCATCCTCAGCTTCCCCCACATGTGTCATAGCAGTGACATAGCTCTCTTCTATGTCCTACCTACACAGCACAGAAGACAGGAAGCACATCAGTCTAGAGCCAACATCGGAGGCAGGACAGTTCCAGATGGGTGGCGGGAAGCACATCAGTCTAGAGCCAACATCGGAGGCAGGACAGTTCCAGATGGATGGCGGGAAGCACATCAGTCTAGAGCTAACATCTGAGGCAGGACAGTTCCAGATGGATGGCGGGAAGCACATCAGTCTAGAGCTAACATCGGAGGCAGGACAGTTCCAGATGGATGGCGGGAAGCACATCAGTCTAGAGCTAACATCGGAGGCAGGACAGTTCCAGATGGATGGCGGGAAGCACATCAGTCTAGAGCTAACATCGGAGGCAGGACAGTTCCAGATGGGTGGTGGGAAGCACATCAGTCTAGAGCCAACATCGGAGGCAGGACAGTTCCAGATGGATGGCGGGAAGCACATCAGTCTAGAGCCAACATTGGAGGTAGGACAGCTCCAGAAGGAGGGCAAGAGCTGTGCAACATTTCCTGGTAACTAGCTTGTGATTGGTTGCTAGCAACCAATAACCTGTCGATTAAGTTAAAAAGTTAACATGGCAGCTTCCGCCCTCCATCTGGAGCTGTCCTGTGTCTCCAATGTTGGCTCTAGACTGATGTGCTTCCTGCCATCCATCTGGAACTGTCCTGCCTCTGTCGGCTGGATGAGGATAACAGAGGTGACGGCGGCTGAGCAGAAGAACTGACTCCTAAATGGTGGAAATGCGGCCAGTCCGGATGGGACAGTGACTTGGTCCAGACCACAGTCCACAATTTAGTGATGTCTGATCTAGTGAGTGTGTTTGGACTCTGACCCTTTCAAAAGCTTACACTCTCTCTCATGTGCAGAAAAAACAGGGTAAACTATCCAGTTTTCCTATGACAAGAGCATTGATATGAATTTTAGAAGTTAATTTCTGATAACAGTTCCAGCCTGTTGATAATGTGGAAATTTCTCACATGCTCCAATGTGTGGGCGGGTTGGGCTGTAGTGCTTATACCAAAAGACACAATGATCTCTATTTTCACACACATTTATTACAGGTACTTATATAGCACCGTCAATTTACACAGTGCTTTACATATATATTGTATATTTACATCAGTCCCTAACCCTCAAGGGGCATACAATCTAAGGTCCCTAATTCACATTCATACATATACATACTAATTTAGACAGGAGCCAATTCACCTACCAACATGTCTTTGGAGTGTGTGAGGAAACCGGAGTACCCAGAGGAAACCCACACAGGCACAGGGAGAACATGCAAATAAATGCAAAG